TTCCTCCTCCTTCCTCTTTGGTCTCTGTTTCTCTGCACTGGTGGCATGCAGCCCAATGGAGCCCCACCTGAAGTTGCCCTGCATCGTATAATGGGCTTTAGGGGACTGGCACCGCAAAGAAGCAAGGAGAATACACTTTTCATCCTCAATGGGATGAGGTCCTTATTTACTGTAGTTTAATATAAATGACAAGGATGGATGGCATGAGCTTTTGTAGACACTGGCAATCAAGTGACCATGTCTATGGAATCTCACAGCAAGATGAATTTATCTTTAAGGCAGCGGTTTTCAACTTTTGGTCCTTGAGAGTTTTGGACTTCAATTCCCAAATATTTTTGACCACTGGCCCTGCTGCCTGGGGCTTCTGGGAGTTGTTGCTGTTATTGTCACTGTTGCTGCTATTATTCTTGTTGTTATGTTTATTTATACCCTGCTTTTTCTCTCCACAAGAAAACTCAAAGTGGCTTACATTAAAAGCATTTCAATTCAGTTTAAAATCTACACATATACAAACATTAAAAGAGAATTAAACTGAAGTCCAAAAATAAATCTGAAGGACAAAGATAACAACAACTTTATTCTTATGTCCTGCCAGCGTCTCCCCGAAGGAACTCAGTGCAGCTTACAGATAGCACAAAGTGCCTAAAAACAAACATAAAAGTGAACACAATATAAAATACAATTAAATAAGACACATGCACATATAAAAATATATATTCAGACCCAATCAAGCTGTCTGAAAGCTGCCACTACTGCTTTCAAGTGACATAACATGAAGCTGTACCCTTAATCAAAGAGGTTAATTAAATATTACTCTGAAGTGGTACTATCTCTATAGAAAGAAAATGCAGTGGGAATGGATGATCTGGATCAGTTGTGTTGCATCTAGATGCATTCAAACCTTTACCTCCATCTGAATTCCTCAATGAAAGAAGCCAGGCAGCTGCTATTTATCTCCTTAAGTGTAGTTTATAATCTAACAGGCACCAGAGAGACTCCTGCCATATCAGAATCCGGCCCAGTTCTTTCTTCTTTAAAGGCCTGGGCTTGTTTGTTTTTTCCTTTCTGCTGCTCCTTATAGCAATGATAAACTATGCCTTGCACAATGTGATATTTGATACAAATAATAATTTTTAAATTCCTTTCAATAAAGATTTTCAAATCTTTTGCAATGAACAGGGTCCAAGGGAAAATTGGAGAAGGTTCCTGTCTCATTAATGACTGTTTAGAAGGAGAAATGTCAGCATGTGTGGCTCCTCACACAATCGCTATACCATCACCGTCCCCACTTCTTCTGTAAGGTTCCTATTATACTGTACCTTGATCTGTGAGATTTGTGTACACAGGGAGTTTCTGGCTTTGGGACACTCCCTGAGTTGTTTACATTTCCAAAGGAATGTGTGGGGAAGAAAAGCAGGAAATCAATGCATGCTTTCATCTGATGAAAAGTGTTGTGTGGCACTTTAAAAGGACTTTATTTGGCACAAGCTTTTGCAGACTTTCAGCCTGCCTTATCTGATGCACATTTCATTAAGGGGGCTGAAGCTTTTGCAGAACAAAACTTATTCAGTGGTTACAGCAGCCCTTTCAAAACATTTCATGTTGGTGATATTCCTTTTTAGACAGGCATGATTTTGCGACACAGTATTTCAGTTTTACTAGCAAATCAGAAGTTAAACCAACCCCTTATAAGAAGAAGAAGTAGTAGTAGTTTATTTTTCTACCCCGCCTCCATCTCCCCGAAGGCTTACATTGAGTCAGGCCCAGGGCAAAATACAATTAAAAACAGAACAATAACTAGTTAAAATAACATAATTTTTTATGCCAAAAAGATGAGGGAGGAAGGTGGTCTCAGCATCTTGTGTCTCACCCTCCTCTTGGCATAAGGACAGTGTGAGCAGCCCCATCCTTATACCAGGAGAATGGCTTGAGGAAGGTACGTGGCAGGTGAAAGCCCTCTGGAGCACTCTCCGTCACTGCCTATCTTGCCTTCCTCCCAGCATAATGCCATGAGGACAGCCTGAGGATTGGAGGAGGATTGTGGGGAGGATCAGGGCAGTTGCCACGTGTCCCTCCTTCCTCCCAGCATAAGGGTGGGGTGAGGAGCCCCATCCTTATGCTGGGAGGACAACCTGAGGATGACCTCTGCCCTGTCCCACCCCCTCCTGAGACCATCCTCTCCCCATCCAACAGATGCCCAGCTCCCCTCCTTGCTGGCCCAGCCCTCCTGGTTAGGCCTGCAATGCAGCCCCAAGGCAAAAAAAGTCTGCCCATGCCTGAACTAATGCAGTCTGATACTACTTTAATCATAGCTCAATATTATATAACCATGGGAATTGGAGTTTTACAAGGTCTTGAGCTTTCTCTGCCAAAGTGTAGTGATGACTCACTGTACTACAGCTTCCATGATTCCATAGCATTGAGCCCTGGCAGTAAAAGTGGTGTAAACTGCATTAATTTTACAGTGCAGATGTGCCCGAAGGAGTGACCTTTGGCCCCCCAAAATTGTTTCTTTCACACTATACAATAATAATATTTGGATCCAACTTTAAAGGCCATGGCTCCGTTCTGTGAAATACTAGGATCATAATTTCTGTCTCTATAATTTACTCTAAGGTTGGTTGGCCACACAATGTCCTGGTATTCCTATCTGAAATATTGTAGGATATGGGGTGGGGGGGGGGGGTAGGTTGGGGAGACATTTAGAATTTCAGACTAGTACTTCCCCAAATTACAAATCCCAGGATTCTGTAGAATCAGGCCTGGCAGTAAAATGAGTCCAAAGTATTGTATTTGTATGGTGTCTTTCACACTACATAGTTAATCCATTCTAATGGCAACATTCTACGGGATCTTGGGATTTACATTTTAAAATGCCAATGTGGCATCGTGGTTTGAATGTTAGAAGATAGGCCTGGGTAACAACGGAAAAATTTGTTTCTAAAATCGATTTGTATTTGGGGGTTTTTTTTGTTTCGATATTTAAAATAATTACAAAATTTTCCCTTAAAAAAGTTCGGTATTTATGAAATTTCGTAAATGTGAAAAAAATTACAAAACATTAACGAATCGATTTCCGAAACAATAACGAATCGATTCGTTAATGGCGGACGCGACCGCGAAATACGCTAAAAAACCTCCAAAAACTTCTGAAGCTTCCCTCTCCCTCTGTTGTTGACTGTTGGTGTGATATTATATTTTTTTCACTAATTAAACAAAAAACTTGCCCCAGACATGCGGAAATAATAACGAAACGACCTCAGAACAATAACGAAACGAATACAATAACGAAATACGAAGCATTTACAAAACGTGTTTAAAAATTCGTTTTTTTAAAAAATTGCTCCAGAATGGTTCGTTATCGTTTTGTAATTGGAAAAAATAACGAATTATTAACGAATTACGAATTAACGAAACGAAACCGCCCAGCCCTATTAGAAGACTCTGGAAACCAGGGTTTGGCCTCAAAAAGCCACAGGGTGACCTTAAGCAAGACATGCTTTTTCATTCTCTGAAAACCCCACATAAATTTGCCAAACATCCGAACTGACTTGATGGCACACAACAATGGAGGATTCTCAGCCAGAGAGCTCTTGAACCTCACTAAACTGCAAACCTCAGAACTCGATGTGATGTTGCCATGGCAGCTAAAGTAGAATAATAGTGCTATAGTGTAGTATATAATGTTTTTGTAGAGGAGAGGATGGACAGTTTTTCTCAAACTCTGCTCCTCTAGGTGTTTTGAACTTCATCTCCCACAATTCCAAACAGCTGGTAAGCTGGCTGGGATTTCTGGGAGCTGAAGTTCAAAACACCTGGAGGAGCAGAGTTTGAGAAACACTGGTGTAGATGCTTCGACCCCTCAGTGAATAAAAAGAATTGACATGAGTCTTGATGTTATTGCTGTGTGACTTCAAGAACTTTCTAGTTATGACAGACGTCACCTAGGCTTTGGATGGTAGATTTGATGGATGCATCTATACCAGGGATGGGCAAGCTTAGGCCCTCCAGATGTTTTGGACTTCAACTCCCAGAAATCCCAGCCAGTTTAAGGAGGGCTTAAGTTTGCCTATGCCTGATCTATACTGCAGAGTTAATGAAATTTGACACTACTTGAACCACCATGGCTTAATGTTAGGGAATCCTGGAAGTTGGAGTTGAGTGAGGAACCAATATTCTTTGGCAGAGAAGGCTAAAGACCTTGTGAAACTATAACCCCATGATTCTATAGCATTAAGCCATGGCAGTTAAAGTGGGGTCAGACTGCATTAATCCAACAGTATGGATGCGTATCCAGTGAAGCAGCAGACTTGACAAGAGTCTTGAAGTTGTCATGGTGTAACTTCAAGGTAGTAATACTTATGGCAGAGATCTTGTGGATTTTTCAGGGGCTTTGGAGGCTAGTGGCAGTAGAAGGGATGGATAGCAGTATGCAGTCCTCATGGACAACAAGTTAAACATGAGCCAACAATGTCATGCGGAAGCTAAAAATGCCAATGGGATTTTCGCTGGTATAAATAGGAGTATAGGGTCTAGGTCTTGGGAAATCATGCTACCCCTCTATTCTGCCTTGGTCAGACCATACCTGGAATATTGTGTCCAACTCTGGACACAGCAATTGAAGGGAGATGCTGACAAGCTGGAATGTGTACAGAGGAGGGTGACGAAAATGATCAAGGGTCTCCCTATGAGGAGTGGCTTAAAGAGCTGGGCATGTTTAGCCTGGACAAGAGAAGGCTGAGAGGAGACATGATGGCCGTATATAAATATGTGAGGGGAAGTCTGAACTGGATGGTCCTCGAGGTCTCCTCCAACTCTATGATTCTAAGGGGGAAAGATGTGCTAAGGAAGCCTACCTCTAGGCTAAGCTCTCAGCCCAAAGATGCATCTACACCAGGCATGGGCAGACTTCTGCCCTCCGGGTGCCTTGGACGGAGGGCCGAAGTCTGCCCAAGCCTGGAGGGTAGAGGGCCCCCAAGAGAGTGGGGCTGGTTCCTTACCTTCCAGGCCAGCTCTGCCTCGAAATCCCGAGCCCTCAAGAAGCGGACCAAGTGGGCGTCGCTGAGGAGGAAAGGCGGCATGGGATGCAAGCCCCCTTCCCTCTCCTTGCCCTCTTCTTCTTGAACTCTGCGCCTCAAGGCGGCCACGGCGGCTCGGACTTGGGGCGCCTCGTCCGGCAACAGGTTGAGGTTGGGGGGCTCCTCGGGGCGGCTCATGGCGAGGGAAGGGGCTCCTCGGCACTGGGAGAGGAACCCGCCCGGCGCGGCTGCTCTTGGCCCCGTTGCATAACCCGAGGAGGGAGAAGGCAAGGCAGCCGCTGGCACCGTCGCAGAGCCCGAGCCCCGGGCCAAGGCCGCGCAGGGGGCCCCACCGGCGACGCGGGCCAGGAGTCAAAGGGGCCCTTGTTTGTCTTGGCCACGAGGATCTGCGCCGGGATACCTGGCCAGACTCGCTTGACGCCTCTGAGGTCCATTGGGAAAGAAGCGCCCGCCTCCCTCCCCAAGAAGAAGGATTCCGGACGGAGGCTCCCCAGCGCAGGCGGAGTTGGCGACCAGGATCTCCCGGGCAACCTTTGCCGCCGAGAAAGCCACCCACTCTTGCGTCGCCTGACTCTGGCTCAAGGCTCAAACTCGTATCGCCCCGCAGGATCCAAGTTCTCCCTTACGAACTCCTGAACTTTCCAGGCTGAAGAGCACCAAACTGCAGAACTCAGGATTCCACAGCATTCAGTTCAAGCAGGCAGGGACAAACTTCGACCCTCCGGATGTTTTGGACTTCGACTTCCACAATTCCTAACAGCCGAGGGCCAAAGTTTGCCCCTGCCTAAGCGAAAGGGATGCTAAACTTCAGTGTGGACACACCCACTAAGGGTGAATTTATATTAGGTATGGGCAAATCCAGGCCCGGGGGCCGGATGCGTCCCTTTCGGCTTTTTCCTCGGGCCCTCCTCTCTCTCACCATCCTATCCTTCCTTCCTTCTCTTCTATCCTCCTTTCCTCTTTTTCTCCCTCCCTCTTCCCTTCCCTTTTCTTCCTTTCTTCATTCCCTCTTTCTTCCCTCTTTCCCCCCCCTCTCTCTCCTTTTTCACTTTTGTCTTTCCTTCCTTCTCTCTTTCCTTCCTCCTTCTCTTCCTTCCTCCTTCTTTCTCCCTCCCTTCCACCTTTTCGTCCTTCCTTCCCTCTTTACTCCCTCCTTCCCCTTCCTTTTTCATTCTTTCCTTCCCTCCCTTTTATCTTTCCTTACTTCTCTCTTTCCTTCCTTCTTCACTCCCTCCCCCTTCCCTTTTCCTCCCTCCTTCCCTCTCTCTATCCTTCCCTCACTCCCTTTTATCTTTCCTCCCTTTTCTCTTTCCTTCATTCCTTCCTCCTTCCCTCCCTCCCTTCATTATCTCCATCTTTCTCCCTCGCTCCTTCCTTCCCTTTCACCTTTTCATCCTTCCTTCCCTCCTCCCTCCTTACCTTCCTCTCTTTTCCCTTCCTTCCTTACGTTTTGTCTTCCTTCCTTCTCTATTTTTCCTTTCCTCTCTCCTTCCTCCTTCCTTCCCACCCTTTCATCTTCCTTCCTTCCTTCCTTCCTTCCTTCCTTCCTTCCTTCCTTCCTTCCTTCCTTCCTTCCTTCCTTCCTTCCTTCCTTCTCCTTTCTTCATTCTCTTCCTTTTGTCTTTCTTTCTTTCTTTCTCTCTTTCCTCCCTCCCTCCCCTTCCTCCTGCTCAATGCATGCCCTTCAACCGTTCCTTCCATCCTTTTCTTCCTCCCTTTCTTCCTTCTCTTTTTCCTTCCTCCTTTCCTCCTGGAGYATGTTTAGCTGGGAAAAGAGAAGGTAGAGAAGGAACGTGAGGACTATGTTTCAAGATTTTAAAAGGTGTCTCATTGAGGAGGAGCAGGGGAAAAACTGGCTTTTTGCTGCTCTAGAGACCAGGGCACAAGGGAGCAATGGTTTCAAATGGTAGGGAAAGAGATTTGACTGAAAGGATTAGGAGGAACTTCTTGAGAGTAAGAGCTGTTGGAGAGTTGCATCGGCTTCCTCAGAGTGTGTTTGAGTCTCCTCTGGAGGCTTTTCCACAGAGGCTGTCTAATGGGAATATTTTGATTGTGCCTTCCTATATGGCAGGGGGTTGGGCTGGATGGCCCTTGGGGGTCTCTTCCAGCTCTAGGACTCTAGGACTCTATATTAGGAGTAGGCAATACAGGGTCTAATTTTTTCTCTCCCATCCACCATCTCATACTGACCAAGGCCAATCCTTTTGGGATCCAAACGTTTCCCCGTCTTCACTTTCTGCCTTTGAAAGTGAAGAGGAATGAGAGGAAAGGGCAGGGAGGGGGCTTGGAGAGAACCCCCCTCCCGGCACACCCATGCAGCCCCTGAGTTAGAAAGTTTGCCCATCCCTGATCTATATTGTAGGAGGAATGCAATCCCCCACCACTTGAACTGCCCTGGCTCAGTGCTATGGAATGGGTAGCATTGAGCCATGGAGTGCTAGTTTTGTAAGGTCTTGAGCCTTCTTTGCCAAAGTTTGGGCATTTCATCAAACTACAACTCCAAGGCTTCCAAAGCATTGAGCCACAGCAGTCAAAGGGGCATCAAACTGCTTTAAAACTTGGAGCCAGTGTGGTGTATTGGTTTGAGTGTTCGGCTACAGTTTGAGTATCCCTTATCACAAATGTTTGGAACTAGAGCTTTTCTGATTTTCTTATTCTCCCCTCCTTTTAGAATACTACCTACTGTATATACAGTGTTCCCTCGCCGCTTCGCAGTTCACTGATTGCGGACTCGCTGTTTCGTGGCTTTTTTTTTTTTTAAAAAAAAATTGAAAATACAAGTAGTGAGCACTGTATATAACAGACTTGAGAGCTCTATGCCAGTGGGGAGCAGGGAGGGAGGGAGAAGGGTGGCTCCAGCAAGGGGAGGGGGGTGGGAGGGAGGAAGGGAGGGGGAAAGAGGAGAGAGAAAAAGAGAGAGAGGAGTGGGCAGAGCTATACTGTACATATACAGTATAGTGTCCCTACATCACAGTTTTTCACTTATCGTGGGGGTTCCTGAAAAGGAACCCCTGCGATAGGTGAGGGAACACTGTACTCAAGTATAAGCCCAGTTTTTCAGCTCTTTTTTTAGGCTGATAAAGCCCCCCTTAGCTTATGCTTGGGTGAGGATCCTGGCGAGAAGGCATGAGGCTGAAAAGGGCCTCATACGTTCCTGCCAGGACCCTCACCTCTCCACACAGCAACCCAGCTGTCCTTCCTCTCCTCCTCTCTCAGCACAGCATGCACCTTCCTCTCCTCCTCTCTTGGCACCAGTCTTTCCCACTTTTCCTTATTCATATACACACAGCATTTCCCCCAAATGTATTGTTTAGTTTAAACAAACTATGGTGATTATTGGAAGGATACGTAAGCACATTTACATTGAAGAAGGTTAGAATAATTATTTAATCAGAGTTGGACAGTCTTATCTTAAATTACAGTTTTATATAAATATTCAAAAACATTTAACCTTCTGATGCCTCAATTACAGTGATTTTATTGGCATATATTTTTATTTTGAAATTTCCCAGTAGCTGCTGCATTTCCCACCTCAGCTGATAATCGAGTCAATAAGTTTTCTCATTTTGGTGTGGTAAAATTAGGTATCTCGGCTTATATTCGGGTCAGCTTATACTCGAGTATATACAGGTAATTTGACATATATGTATCTAAACACATTTATTTATTTATTTATTTATTTCAATTACTTTTACCCCGCGCTTCTCACCCCAGGGGGGACTCATTCATAAATACCCATCATATGAAGGTAAATGCATATACAATGTTTTTAATGACTTGTTGGAAATGAGGCAAGTGGCTGTGTATTCCGAAACATGGCCATACAGCCCGAAAAACGCACAGCAACTCAGTGATTCTGGCCATGAAAGCCTTTGACAACAGCATTTTGGAGTACTTTGAAATTCCAAGATAGGCAAGTTGTCAGAGGCCTTTTAAACCCCACCGTACAGGATGGGAGCCCTGACAACTCGGTAGCCCGCTGTGAAGTATTTGCTCGGTTCTTTGCGGACAAAGTCGCTTTGACACCATGTTAACGGCAGTCTCTGAGGATGTAACACAAGCATCTGCTTGTCTAATTTTGTCATTTCAATTGGTGAAACCCGGTGATGTGGACAAGATACTTAGAGGAATGAGGGACATCATTTCAATATGTCATTGTATATAGTGGGACTTGAGCATATATAGATGTTGGTGTCCATGGAAACAAACTCAAGGCCTCACCATGTAAGTATCCTTAGTCTTTCTCTCTTTGCCATCAGCTGCCCGCCTCTTCCTTTGAGACAGTGCCAGTAGCGCAACTACTTGTTTGTCTCTGAAATCCTCAATCTCTCATCAGTTTTGAGCATGAAGCCTAAGCAACCACTTTGAAATTTATAGGATTGCTTATAAAAGTGACAAGCAACATGCAGACACACACACATGGCTTCTATTACAATGGTTTCTTCCTTCATGATAACTCAGGATGGGATGTGGGGGATGCTATGCTCTACAATACTCTTTCTCATTCCCATTAACTGTTTATTTGGAACTTTTTTTAAACAAAAAGAAAACACATGATTTGGCAACTTTTGAGTTCTGTTGAAAAGTTTCTCTCATTTAAGAGGCTATCTATTCAAGAAGTGCTGTGTGTAGGCAAAAATGATGCTGGGGGAGAAAGAGCAAATAAATGTCCAAAGTGGCTGAATAACACTCTAGCAAATTCTTTATTATCCCTCACATCTGTACATTACATTGTTCTTTATGACCATTTTGCTCAATCTGGCTTTCTTGAGCATACACCCGTGGGAATCGTACTCTTGTTCTCTGCTGCTTCTGCAAATTGTCAATTTTCTTTTTGCTGTGCAAGCATCCACATGTTGAAGATTTTAACTGAGATTCTTTGGCACTAACTATCATTGGAAAGGGGGAAAACTTGCATCAAAAAGACTTTTAAATGTGTGGAGAATTACATTTAAATAGATAGCAATATAGACCTTAACATTTTGTCCGTATGTTTTCCAATCCATTTGGGTGCAAGAGAGGAACAGTCTGTAAGCTGCCCCGAGTCCCTTCGGGGAGATGGTGGTGGGATATAAGAATAAAGTTATTATTATTTACAGTTGGGAAGCAGCATAATTTCATCAATTCTGCTGAAAGATCACTCCATTGGGCCCCCTCTTTTTCAGCAGTCATGGAGCACCAACAATTCCATTAATCTACATCAGAAACAAAGCTGTGTGGCTCTGTTTGGCTCTTCCTGAACTGCATCTCTCAGCTGGTCCCTGGAATTTCTCTAATTTTAGCCACCAATAGAATCATAGTTGCAAGACGATAAGGGCCATCCAGTTCAGCCCTCTGCTATTAAGGGATATGCTATCAAAACAACTCCAACTCGATCATGTAAGATAGAGTCAAATATAAGTAAATTGATGTTCATCTCATAATATTAACAGATTAATTAGCATCCCAACGTGTTTATTTTCAGTGCACATCCAATAACCAATGATAGAATCATGAAAAACTGTGGTTTCATGATGTGACACATTGTAATTACTCTTTCTGGGGGTGCATTCATAAATTGGTCCAAATAGTAATAACTATTATTTTACTGACACAAAACCACAGTATGTCACAGCAAACGAGACCTATAAGCTGGATTTCATATCACAAAATCACAAGTTGAACACTTCCCAAGTGTCTAGGATTGTGTGATGTATCTTTGAATGATGCTCGCAGATCCAAGTAAGGTGACCTT